GCTTCCGTCATGAGCAGCAGTGGACCAACGTTTCCTGAGCAGTGGAAGGGTGGGTGCAAAGGCCCCGGGGGCCAAAGGGCTCTGGGGACTGCAGGCAGGCGGCGGCGGCAATGACCAGGGCCACTGCAGCAGACTGAAGGCAAGGGAGACGTACAGTGGCGGGACCGAGTATCCTGAGGTCCTCGCACAGCACTGACGCATGGCTCCGTGTGGGGGCCAGAGGAGGGAGGAACAGGGAGGGGAGAGGTCAGGCTCCAGAACATTCTGAGGTTTGCTGGTGCAGGAATCCCAAGGGATCTGGTTTGGAGCAGATGAGAGAAAACAGAGGCAGAAAAGGGAGCAAGTTCGGGAGTATTCTGGAGTCAGATGCCACCTCTCATGTCCCTGGGGCCACCTCCCCCTTGACATTCTGACTGCTGCTCCCTTCCTAGGACTCCTGTTTCTCATTGTTGTTCTGATGTTTTTTAGAGGGAAGGGTCTCATTGTGAAGCCCAGGTGGCCTCAAAGCCCTGGTGATCCTCCTGCCTCAGCCTCTGAGTGCTGAAGTCACAGGCATGTGACGCTTCCTCTCCAGAGCCCAAGCCTGGTCACAGGCCTGTGGGTAGGGAGAGGGCGCCCTTCAGATGGCACATGGGCTTCTGCCCATGACACACAGCATTGGGGCCAGAGGGGTGGGCACAGAAAGAATGCCACCCAGAGTGAGTAAAATGAGGCTGGCCGTCCAGCCCCCATCCCAGCCACCGGTGTCTGCCCTCTCCAAGGTGGTGGCCCCACCCTGAGGAGTTCTGTCCCGACCTCACAAGAGCACGGACTACGACCAGGTCTAGGGGGACACACACAGGCCCAGTACCAGCCAGAGGCCCTCCTGGCCCTCCTTCCCCTCCTGCGCTTTCTGTCCCTCCTTCCCCTCCTGTCCCTCCTGCCTCACCTGCCCCTCCTGCCAACCCTCCCCTCCTGCTACTCCTGCCCCTCTGTCCCTCCTGCCCCTCCTGCTACTCCAGTCCCCCCTCACCCTCTTGCCCCTCCTGCCCTCCTGCCCTTCCTCCTTTCCTGCCCCTCCTTCCCTCCTACTCCCTACCCTCCTGCCCCTCCTGACCACCCCCCCTCCTTCCCTCCTGCCCTCCTGTCCTGTCCCTCCTCCCCTCCTGCCCCCTCC